TATAAGCTTAAGTACTAGAATATAGCTAAGATATTTAAGCGTATAGGTATTAGTAAAGTAGCTAAAATAATTAACTATGTAAAAGTAGTTACTATAGTTAACTATTTATAAGAATAGAAAGTAGTTCTAGGTACGTAGAGGTAGTTATATTAAGAAAGTTTCTATTTATTTGCAACTACAGAATTAACTAAATACAATATTATAGAAGATATAACTATTAGAGTAGAAGATATAACTACTAGACTAAGTAATAATATAGATATAGTTTCTAATACACAAAATAACTAGCTAGTGTTATTCTAGGCTAATATAGGTAGAATATTAACTAATGTACTAACTACAAGTAAAGTTAAAGAAATCTAGAGATTAGTTATAACTATACAAAAGAGAGAAACTATAGATATACTTAGTAATATATAGTATCGCTAGAATATATTAACACTCTACGCTAAATATAAATATCTAGAATATCTTTTACGTAGTAGAATTAATCTAAAAAGTATATAAGAGTAGAGTATAGTAATAGTAGCGTAAGAGTAGCTATTTGCTAAGATTAGTAGCGTTATACTTTATATATAGAATAGATAGTTAGAATATAGAAAGTAATAGTTTATACTCTAAGAGAGATTTAGAGTAGAAATCTTTATCTTACTACTAAGAGGTAGAGTGCTAAATTTATTTATTAAATAGAGACTAATCGCGCGTTTATAGAACTAGATAAATATAGTTATAATCTATAATAGTAATACTATAGAGATAGTAAAGATTATAGAACTAATCTTTATAAGTTATATAAGAGTAGAGTCTCTACTAATATAACTTCTACTAGAGTCTATTAAGAAGTCTAACCTTATTAATTAGACCTTTATAAATCTACTTACCTCTAGTTAAGATATATAATAGAACTTTAAGGTAGTCTAGAACTTAATAGATAATATAAGTTAGCCTAATTTACTAGCGTAAATAGTAGTAATACAAGAGAATAGGTAATTCTAAGTATACTTTACTATTAAAATTCTATTAATTTACGTATATAAATAGGCAGGTTCTTATAGACGTAAAAGGTTAGGTTAACCTAGTAATACCTAGAGATTTGTATACATACGCTATTAGAACTTTACCTAGTAATACCTAGAAATTTATAGGTATAGAACGTTAAATTTTATTCTAGAAATATAAAGGTAATCTAATAGTATAGTTTCTATCTATAAGATAGTAGAAAATAAGTCTAGAAGTTATAATGCTTGCGTTAATAAGTATACTTCTAGAGTTAGCTTACGCTATTAGTGTACTTCTAGAGTTAGCTTATAGTGTTAAGCGTACTTCTAGAGTTAGCTTATAGTATTAAGCGTGCTTCTAGAGTTAGCTTATAGTATTAAGCGTACTTCTAGAGTTAGCTTATAGTGTTAAGTATACTTCTAGAGTTAGCTTATAGTGTTAAGTGTACTTCTAGAGTTAGCTTATAGTGTTAAGCGTACTTCTAGAGTTAGCTTACGCTACTAGTATAGTTCTATATATAGCTTATAGTGTTAAGTATTCTTCTAGAGTTAGCTTACACTATTAAGTATTTTTCTAGAGTTAGCTTACGCTATAGAGCGCACTTTCTAGATATAATTATAGTAGAAAACGCGCTTCTAGAGCTAGCTTATAGTATTAAACAAGCTTCTAGAGTTAGCTTATAGTATTAAATAAGCTTCTAGAGTTAGCTTAAGCTATAAGGCTAGTACTAGAATATAAAGGTGTATAGACTAAATTTTATAAAATTTAATAGCAAAAGTCGCAAACCTAATAAAGTTAGAATATAAATATCTTATAACTATTAAGAAAAACTAATATAATATAACTAATATTTAAGTATACTTTAAGAATTAAATATATTTAATAATAATAATACTACTAACGCTAATAGCTCTTCTCTAAAGGTAACGCACTAAGTCTTTAAAAGGTACTAGTTAAGTAGTAACTTAGTCTAGCGTATAAAATACTACTTATTACTAAGTAGTAGTAGTTACTAGCTACTATACTACTAGGTAAATAAAGGTATACTTATTTAACTTCTATATAGTAGCTTCTTATAGAAAAGTAACTCTATAGTTTACTACTAAACTTATAAGTATAAACTCTTCTATAATATTATAGCTCTAGAAGTAGAAATAATATTTATAACTAAGTAGTAACTATATAAGTTAGAAAGTAGTAGAAATAGAATAGTAGAAAATTATAAAGTAGTACCTATATACTATTAGTGCACGTATATAGAGCGCCTATATAATATAGCTTATATATAGTAAAAGTAGTACTTTAGTATATAGTATATAGTATAATTAAGAACTAATCTCTATACTACTATAGCGTATAAGTAGTAAGAAAAGCGTAGTAGTATACTACGTACACTAGAATAGATAGCTAGTCTATATACTATAGTAAATATTATACACTAGTATTATAAAAAGAATATACGCTATTATAAATAGAGTAAGTGTTAGACTTTATATTATATCTACTAACTACTTTTAAGAATATAACTAAAGTAAGTATTTTTCTACTAAAGACTTCTAATAAGATATAGTATATAGTTTATATTAATCTTACTTAAGATAATAACTCTTTATAATATTATTATATACTCTTAACACTACTAAGCTTACTAGTATATAAGCTAGCTTATACCTACTTTAATAAACGCCTTTATAAAGAAAATATCTTACCTCTTCTATATCTATAATAATAGTATCTAAACACTCTACTAAAGTACTCTAAAAGGTATTTCTCTACGCCTAAGTTATTCTTCTTACTAGGCGTATATACTATTTAGTTATTAGATAACTTTTAGTATAAGAATATTATATTAGATAAGCTTTTTAATATTAAGTTTATAAATAAAGTAGTTTTATACTTCTATATATAGTATCTAATATAGTTAATAAAGATAATATAACTTAGCTCTATTAAGTCTACGTAGATTATAGATTCTAGAAGTATTAAGAGCTAGTCTATAGTATAAGAACTAACTAAAAAGCTTTATAAGTATAGAAATAGAATAATCTATTACTTATCTTACTTCTAGTAGTATAGTATATATTATATAAAGTTCTTTTTTTCTTTTAGAAAAAATAAAACTTTATAAGTTATTATTACTTTAGTAAATCTAACTTCTTAGAAGTAGAGTTATAAAAGTTATATAGATAGTAGAGAGAAGGCTTCTACTTTAATAGATAATATAGCCTTTATAGTAGACTTTCTTTTATAAACTATAATAGTAGTAGTATTAACTTAGTCTAACTTTTAAATTAAGTTTTAGAATTTTTTATAATACCTTTAGATTTAGCTATTATTACTAGTAGTAATTAATTAATATAACTTTAGTATATATATATACTTTAGTTTTGTATATATAGAGTATATTACACTACTATAAGTATTAGTTCTAGCTAATAACTATTAAAAGGTCTAAAAGTAGCTCTATCTAGTTTTAAGTTACTAAGACGTACTATTATAAGTTTTAGACTTACGCTAGTAAAGTAGTATATATACTTTATTTTATATATATCTTATAGTACTTTAATAATTAGCTATATTAGTAATATATTTACTAAGTAGCTATTTAGTATAATTTAAGACTATAAGCTAGAATAAGTAGTTATTAAAAACACGCTAAGAGTATTACGTATTTATTACCTTTTTTAATTATTAGCTCTTACTACTCTAAATAGTAATCTATACTATATATTCTATTTAAAGAAGCTAGTAGAGAGTTATAGAATATACTTAATTCTAGATTAATACTTAGTAAATATAAGAAAGAGAAAGTAGCTTATATATGTAAAGATAATATAGATTTAGTAGTAGAATAATAGCGCTACTAATAATAATATACTTTTATACTACTACTTAATCTTTATAAGTTTATAAAATATATTATTTTTAGTGTAGAGTAGAGAGAGCTATAAGTATAGAGTATTAGTTCTAATACCTAGGTATCTATAAAAGAGTAGAATTTACGCTAATATTAGTATTACTAGTTTATATTATAATATAGATAAGGCGTAGTTTAATAAGTAGACTAAAAAAGAAGAATATATTAGACTTAAGTTAAAATCTATATACCTTATACTATATAATATAAAAAGCTATAGCTCTAGAAGCTATAATAGAGTTATAGAGTATTCTAGTATTATATATAATATTAGCTTATATATAGTATTAGCTTATATATAGTATTAGCTTATATATAGTATTAGCTTATATATAGTATTAGCTTATATATAGTGTTAGCTTATATATAGTATTAGCTTATACGTAGTATTAGCTTATATATAGTATTAGCTTATACGTAATAGAGTTAACTCTAATAGAAGGCTTTAGTCTTCTAGATAAAATTAAAAGAAGTAGAGTTTACTTCTTTATAGAAAAGAATCTACTTCTTCTATAATCTAGTTAAGAAATTTATTATAGTAATTTTAGTAGCTCTACTATTAATAGAAAAAATAATATAATTATTAAAAGTAGTTCTAACTAAGTAATATAATAGAAAGAGAAAAGAAAATTAGTTTAGTATATTACTTTTATACTTACTACTATTTATATAACTATAATATAGCTAAAAGAGCTTTATAGTTTATAAAGATATATCTAAAATACTATTAACTAAACTAAACTATAGTTTTACTTTATAGTAAAAGAATAGCTTATATACTTAAATATTAAGATTAGAATAGACTAGAATAGACTTAGTAGTAGTAGTACTATCTATAGATATTCTAAGAAGACTTTACTTATAGTTATTATAACTATTTAAGTTACTACTAAACTTTAGTTATTAACTAAATTTTCTATCTATTCTATAGTACTAGTCTACTACTAGATACTACTTACCTATCTAAGAAGTAATATTATAATACTAAACTACTACTTTTAATATAAAAAAATAATTAGTAATAGTATATAATTTATACAACAAACGCGTAGTAAGATAAGTGCTTTCTCTGTGTATTAGTAGTTTACGTCACGAAACCGCGCCTTCGTACTAAGCCTAGAGGAACGCTAAACGACCGCGACGAAGCTTGCGCGAACGAGACCTGGATATCCTCGAGCGACAAGCCCCGCGTCTCGCGCATACACGTCGCGAGTACAACGAGCGTCAAAAGCGCAATCGCGCCGAAGAGGAAGTACGCGCCGTACGCCGATCTCGCGAGGAAGATAGGTGTCGCGAACGCAACGAGCCAATTCGCAAGCTGTCCGTGGAAGAGTCAGCAAAGAACGCGCGACAACAATGCCAGCGAAGACCGTGAAGAGAGAGGTGAGGACGCGACTTACAAAGCTACCGCCCGTGGCTATTGAGTTCGTCGTCGCACGCGTCCTTGTAGGCTGGATCTCAGACGCGTAGATCTTGCCCACGATAGCCCACGTGGAGACGTATCCAATTGCGAAGACGAAGACCGAGACGATGACAATCCAGCGCGCTGCTCCATTTGAATGCACGACGTTCGCGGCGTACAGCGAGCCGATAAGAAGCATCGTGCCAGAGAGGATGACGCCGCCGCAGATGGCGGACGTGCGACGACCCCATTTGTCTGCGAGGATGGTGGCGGGAATGCTGAAGGCGAGCATAAGGATGGCGGAGACGCCCGAGGCGAGGAAGGATGCGGTTTGCGAGGGGATTCCGGCTTGAGCGAAGATGGTCGGGGCGTACTGCGAAGGGTCATCAGTTTGCTGATGCAGTTTCGGGTCTTTGGGCGGAGAGACAAACGTAAAGGACGCCGTCGATACCGCTCAACTGAACGAACGACAGGATGAACACCGCGAGCCATGTCTGCGATCAGTATTCCCTCTTGAAGATCAAGCGCAAGCCCTGCAGTATGCCGACTTGCTCTTCCGGGCTGGCGTTCTCCGTGGGGCGCAAGACGTCCTTCTCCGCCTCCGCGGCTTCAAAGTCCAGCTTCTTGAGCTCTTGCATCGCCCGACTTCTTTGCCCGTGCAAGATGAGCCATCGCGGACTCTCGGGTAGGAAGAACGATCCCGCAGCCCAAACCATGGACAGCGCGGCTTGCAGTATGTACGGCAGACGCCATGACATATTGCCATTGATGTGTATACTCCCATAGCACGAGAAATAACCAACGCAAACCCCCAGCGCAGCGCCGAACTGCGGGAGCGACACAAACTTACCACGACTTCGACTCGGCGCGATCTCACAGATATACACTCCAATGTTGGTGAGCGCGAAACCCTGACCGATCCCCATCAATGCGCGGCCGACGAGGAAGAGACTGAGATGGGAGGCAGCGCATTCGAGCACGCAGCCAATCGTGCAAAGAATGGCGCCGACGATGATGATGCGGAGGCGACCGAAGCGGTCGGCAAGATAGCCGGCGACTGTTGCTGGGATGGCGCCGCAGAGCATTATTAGAGAGACGGTGAAGCCGCGCATGGTGGGTGTGAGGTGGCCGAATGTATGGGTGAAGGAAGGCATTTCGGTGACGGCGCCGACGGAGCCTGTGTCGAATCTGGTGGCATGTTTGTGAATTGGTTCGCGTATGCGCTGGGCAAGATGCGCAACAATTGTCACGAGAGAAAGAGCGCATTCATACCCGTTTAGTATGCCACCAAGTGCGACGAAGGTTGATGCGAGCGTATAGCCTGGTATCTTGCTGGGAATGAGCTTCATTGTTGTTAACGTTTCAGCGATGGAGAAAGGCGTTCGAGTGGAAATTGGTTGCTCTTCAGCGAAAGCCGGTAAGAGCATATGTACCTGATACTTCCCCGCATTCGAAAATAACGAGACGTGGAGCGTGATTGGTTGACGCGATGGCCAGTTACTTGAGCAGTGTTGGAGTGAAGGATGCGCGTAAGCAATGAAGTCGCGATGACGTAGGTGGCTCGCGCTGAGCACCACACGCCCAGTATATAGAAAGACCACATGTGGTTGCGCGTGGCAGCGCGAGCTTCAACCAATTACCGCTGTTCGGACCCATCCGAGATGCCGAGTAACGTGCGACACAAAGGCAGAAAGAAGCAGTAAGGTAGATAGGTCTGTAAGTTGTGTTTCCCTCTCTCTCGCAGCAAGAATGAACACATCGAAGCCGCTATTCTCAGAGCTATCTAAGGCTGCATCGGCACTTCGAAGAATCCTACCTCTTTACCCAGTTCCCGCAGCAGCGCAGCCGATCTCTCGCCATACAACCTCTCAATCACCTTCAAACTGTCCAGCTCCAACAGCGTCCCATCCTTGTCCGGTGCGACATCGCTTCGACTACTAGAACAGTCTCGGTTGGAGGGCGTTCCTGAACTGCCAGGAAGCGGTTTATCCCTATCTGAGTTGCATTTCTCGTAGACTGACGCCGGATACGGGTCGTGTGCATACAGCTCCGATCCGTGAGCGTTGTTGTCGACAAAGACACGCGGACAGAGGTATGTCTCTAGTAGTACAGGCGAGGGTGCGCAAGTAGATTCTCGGATTCTTTTGAGAAGCTTTTGAGCTCGAGAATATACACCGCGTTCGGCGCTGTCCTCGACACTGATCAATAAGTCCGATTGTGCTGACTCTTCACCCAAGGCGTGTCGTACCACCTGGTACACATAGAACATCTGGCCCAGTGCTCTGAAATCCTTTGGCTTCTCCGCGTCGGGCACAAATTGCATGAATCGCGTCCAGGCTGGTTCGTGGGCACTGAGATCGTCGATGGCGTTTTGCACCGATGGAAGCGTACGCATCATGAGTGACTTGCGGATAGTCGTGAGAATTCTCTCACCCCCGGGGGTGACGCTGATAGCGCATGGTTTGATGGACGGGTCTCGTCGCAGTAGCTCGACGTGGAGATAACCACGGAAGACATGCGAGATCTGCTGATGGTGCTCCTCTATAGCACGTAGCCAATGCAGAGCCTCAGCGAACTCACAACGACCAGACCGCAATAGGTCGTCAACCGTCTGGTAGTAATGGAAACTGGGAATGTCCAAGCAAATCTGGAGCGGCTGGTAGGCTTTGTGTCCATTGATATGAGCAGTTTGCTCCGCCGCAGGTTGGGAGGCGATGGCAATATCGGCAATGGCCGGAGCACTACGGGCAATGTACTCCAGCTCGTAGAGTGTAGCTCCGTTGCATTGCCCACTTTCGAGGTTGATAATCGGCACGTCCTTAGTAGCCATGGCCATGGCCTTGGCGGAGAACAAACAGATTCCCGATAGGATAGTGACATTGCGCAAGCCCGAAGTCAAAAGATCTTGGAGCGCAGCCTTCGAGGATGGTCCAGCGAAGTGCAGCCATTGCATAGAGGACACGATGCTCGCCGGGGTCAGAAAAGTCGGAAAGTCAAATCTGGTCTCGACGAAGTAGGCGATTCGCTTTGTGGCCCATTCATGATAGCTTTGAGGATAACCTCCGACGATACCGATGGGCGATACGGTAATCTTGGCTCTCTTATTGCCCACGGAGCGGATGAGTTGCTCAAATCTCCTAGCCGTTTCATGCCCTCTTCTTACTGCTCTCCTGTACCGAGGATGCCCTAGGATCGCGTCTCCACGGACGCCCTCGACCGGAGTAGAAAAGTACCCGGAGATCTTCGTCGGTAGGCATCGCATGCTAGCTCCAGCATCGTAGAAACAGATCGTACATACGTCGTCGCTTGACGTTTCCAGGTTGGCAATCGGAAGAGTCATCGTTTCTGTTTGCAGGCGGGGTCCACGAAGTGTGCTTTGACTACAGAGTTGGCGACTCCTGCTCTGTGCAGCTCACCCATATAACGGTCCTCGATCTGCTCCGGCATCGACTCCATTCATCCCTCAGAAATAACCATGCTCGAAGCTGGGTCCAAAGATTCCCAGGACAGTCTAGTCTGCGAGACCTGGACCTGCTCCCCTCCACTTTCCGAGGCGGTCAAACATGTGCTCGCTTTAGAAGGCTGAGAGATCGTGCAAGATACGTTGCGCGAAGGATCGCATCCTACATTCGATATCCTTGGCCGCCGTGGCAGAGCGCGCCTCCATGCGAAGTAGGAATCGCCGTGCGAGACTCACTGACCGCCGCATCATCTCACTTCGCTCCCCGATGCGGTAAGATGAGCATCTTTCTTTTCGTGGAAGCAAAGCGCGGTCGGTTGACGCGAATTGGCCGAATAGTGTGCGGCATCATCTCACATCGCTCCTCAATGCGATGCGGTGAGTACGATCCCCTGGAATCGATCTTGCGGAAGCAAGATTCCGCGGGAGCAGCCAGTGGCGCGGGCGGGCAAGTACCGATTTCAACTTAAGGGCTGACTGAATTGAGAACCGAAGCGCGAACGATTGACACGAGTTGAGCGGATAGCCAGCGGCGCGGGCGGGTAGGTACCGACCTCAGCTTTGGGGATGACCACGCCTCCATGCGAAATAAGAACTGCCGTGCGAAACCCACTGACCGCCGCATCACCTCACTGTGCGGCGTGGGCGGGTAAGTACCGATCCGATGTCAAGTTTGGGAACGACTGCATCGAGAAGCAGATCGCGATTGGATGACGAGATCGCGATTGGTTGACGCGAATTACAGCGATAGCAATTTACCTGAGCAGTGTTAGAGTGAGGGATGTAAAGGATGCGCGTAAGAGCGGAAGTGGCGCTGACGTAATCTCACCCTTGCTTAACAGCCGAAGAAGGTCACCCCTTGCTTACTGGCGAGGAAGGATCACAACGCCCGACGACGAAGGATGATAATGGTCGGCGAGGAACAATGACAATAACCGGAGAGGAAGGAGCCCATTGTGAGTTGATAAGAGGAAAACTACTGTAGGCGATATCGCGATCGATGTCAAACCTGAAAGCATGGCTATTCATCGTTCATCGCTGAGATGATGAACCTCAGTTTCGTCTGTGCCTGCGTCTCCAGCCATCCGCTGTGCATGATGTGAGAGATTTCCTCGGCAATCCTGTCGGGAGACATCTGGTATTGATCGGCTTCGCCTAGTGGAACGGGGATAGTAGCGAAGTTTTGGAGGAGCGACTATCTCTCTTTAAAACCTTATCATGTTGAAAACGCTAGCCGGTTGAGTCAGCGATATTGAGAGTATTCTTGACATTGTCGGATTCTGGTTGTGAGTCTAGGGTTTGTGAATAGTCGAGGCCTGCATCTAACCCCATGTAGACATTGTTCTGGTTGTAAGAGGCGTGCGCCACTGCTGGAACCATCGTCAAGGGAACCAAAATATGGTTTGCATGCACAGGTTCGAGGGGAGCTCCAGTAACCTTCCGCATTCAAGACGTAATTCCTAAAAACGATTTGGTCTGCCACACGCTCGATAGTAGGCGCGGCAATAACCTCGCCTGACTGCGATCTGAAGATTGGAAGTGATACACACGGTGAACATCGGGGTGAGAGGCCTATTGAGGGCTCACGTGGTCCCGTATGCGGTCAATAATACTTCACGCGTCAGCAATCGCAATGGAGAATCTTTCCTCCCATGTGGTGAATGCCCACAAAGCACGTAAGCATCGCAGGATGACTGGACGATTGAAAAGGAAACTGATCAGAGAAGCTCAACTCCAGTAGCAAGCCCACCACGTCGCCATGGCGCATAAATTGGGTATCAATCTTCAGCTCGTATCTCGTCTATCCAAACAAGAAGGAAAGTCCTTCCTCGCTTCATGCGCTTCGTCAAACATAACGACATCGATCCAGAATCCAAGTGGAAAGAAACCCAAACGCCATTGATGCAATCTATCGGAATCCAAAAAACCAAAGGAGATAGATGGTAAGAGATGTTTCCATATGTAAAGAGCCTTCTTATACACACGCACGCGCTGTCGTAACGTCCATGTCTATGTCCGGGTCTAAGAAGCCTCAGCCAAGGCCTCACCAAGCGCATCCGCATCGTAGTCTTGTACCACGACCTTCGCCGGCGCATCGGGGACTTCGTCAAAGAAGCCCCATATCGGTCCATTCTGGTTCACGCCGCTAGGCCGCAGCTTGGGCTTGTCCTTCTTCTTCGAGCCGTCCGCATTCGTGGTCGTGGTGCCTTCGCTCGACTGCGTGTCCTGCGTGGACTGCGTTTCCTGGCTAAGGATCGAAGGCGCGCGGGTGGCCGTCGGCGAAGTAACGGGAGCAGGCGATGAGCCCCATTTGCCAAAGACCCAGCCGCCCACCTTCTTTGTGAGACCGGGGCCGCTGGAGGGCTGGGGGCCGTCGCTCTTCCGGGGTCCGCGTTTCTGGTTCGCGATGCTGGAGTAGAGGAAGTCGCGGTTGGCCATGCTGCTCTGCGATGTCTTGTTCGAAAGCGTGCCGTGCGCGGTGGCGGTCCATGGTGTGAGTTCGGGGCCGACGGAGCCAGAACTGCCAGGCGTTGCGAATCGTGCCGCGTTAGAGTATAGGAGTTGCGAGGGTCGTGACTGCAGTGTGTGGATGTCCATGCCGGAGACCGAGATGAGGGATTCGTGGGAGGCGTGGCGGCGTAACCCGGGGCGCATGGCGGTCATGGGCGAGACGAGGTCGTCGGGCTCGAATTCGCCGTTGGACGTCATCAGCGATGGCTCGGCCGTCGATAGCGAGGAGTCTTCGCTTTCCTCCGGGATAGCAGCTTGAGGCTCCGGCTGGAGGTAGGGCGAGAGCGTAAAGCTGGCATCTGAGAAGGAGTTGGCGGGGCTAACAGCTGATATGACGGCCGTCGCAGGACTGCTCTTAGCAGTGAGGGCGATCGGCGTACTCGAGCTGCGCATTGTCGAGAGGCTTGGTGGCATGAGGCCGCGAGACTTCCGTCGCAGATGCTTGTTTCCGCCCTTCGCGACCTCAAGAGTGCCAGACGACCTTCCCAGCATCGGCGGCAACGCATCCGGATCGGAGCTGTAGTCGTTCGATTTGACGGGCCCGAACATGGGAGACTGGAAGTCGATGGAATCGGGAGGGCTGGTGGGCCGGGAAGAGTCATAGGCCTCGCTGAAGACACGGTCGTACATGGACCCACGGTGTGAGTCTGAGACGGGTGACCCTGCGAAAGAACCTGGCGTGAGGGTCGATGCCTGAGACCATCTGTGCGAGTTAGGCACAGTGACCGCGGTATGTTCGAGTATCGTGGCGGTAGACGAGCGATCGAGAGTAGCTGGCGGGTCGAAGTGCGTCGGGGTGAGGGAGAAGCGCTTCTTCTTAGGCCGTCGCTGGGCTGGTGGCTTGGGAACGTTTCTGGTGACCTTCGGACCGTGGTAGTGGTGGTGTATATGTAGTTCCTGCTGTAGCGAAGCTTCTTGTTCCATTTCCAGTTCCTTCTGCAGCGACGGACTCGTGACGTCCTCATCAGGGCGGGGTGATGTCGAGACAGGCTGGTGAACCTTGAGTTGATCTCGCAGGCGTTCGACTTCCTCGTTGGAGTTTCCCAGTAGCTCGCGCAGTTCGAGTATGCCATGTTGCAGGTTCGCGTTATCGAGTAGAATGTCCTTAACAAAGTGGGAGACGACGTTGGGCCCGCCCTTGTCCGTCCCAGCTTTGGCCTTGAGCCTGCCCGCAGCGGTGTGGAGTTCGCCCTCGACGACCATCCTCCGCTCCATGCGGGCCACGACCTCCATGTGGCGCTGACGCTCGGCACGGGACTCCTTCTCGATGCGGTCGATCTGGTCCTGGAGATCTCCTATAGTCCGCTCGGCCACCTTCCAGCGCTGTATGGCTGTGCGCTCGTCGACGATCTTGGCGTCCAGGCTGCTCTGAATCTGCGACTGCTCTCTTTCGAGGTCGATCAGCTGGCGCTCGAGCAGCTGCGTGCGTGCGGCCAGAGAGCTGAGGCGGTCGATCTCGTCTTCGGTGGAGCGCAGCGTGTCCTCCAGCGCGCGGATGTGGGCGTCTGACTCGGCGACGGCGTTGTTGAGCTGCTCGAGCTGGTCGAGGAGGTCGCGGTTCGCCTTGATGGTCTGCGCATTCTTGGCTTCGAGCTCGATCTTGTCCTTCTCGAGGCCTTCGATGGTGTTGATCATCTCCTTGCGCTCGCGCTCCGAGTCGGCGACGTAGGCCTCATGGCGGACGAGCAGGGCCTGCAGGGCAAAGGTTAGCGGCATGCGCGGTAGTAAGAGCCGACATGCGGGAGTGAGCGACGTACCTGGCCCAGCTGTGCAGCCTTGGAGACATCCCTCTCCAATCCTTCTAAGAGTCTTCCGTTGTGGGCGAGGAAAGCGCAGTCATGGCTCCCACAACAGCAGCGAGGCCCTGGCATGGCACCAAGGCCGGCCGAGTCCATGTGTACGACCCCTCCGTTCGCGTAAACAAAGCGTGAGCAGCCGGCGGGAGCAGCGTGGTGAGTTAAAAATGCGTCGCGGTGTGGTGGATGGTGTCGCTCATGCTCGAATTGATGCTGAGCAGGTAGGAGCTACATAGGAGGGAGAGAGCGGTGGCAGGAAAAGCAAGCGTCGAGGGAGTGAAGCGTCGTGGTGGTCACTAGTCGGGCGCGTTGAGGGCTGATTTGTTGTTCCTGACTATGCCGGCAGGCGGACCACGCTCCACTTGCCCAGGTGTCCCTGCCAGCTCACACTCCCCGCCCACAAGCCTGCCACCGCCTTTTCCACCACCCCATTCCCTGTTTCGCCCACACATACACCTCACCCGGATCCGCACGCGCATGTGATATTATACTTTGTGCACATCCTTCACTCTTTCTCCAGACATCGTCAACGCATTTCGCTCACCAGGCCGTCGACGTCAACGGCGCTCGGACGCACCGTTTTCGATACCCCTGCGCAAATTCTAAGATTGCACATGCGAACGCCAATATCTCGCAATCTTAAGCCCAAAACAAACAGGACGGTCTTGGCGGCTGCCTCGCGATGACTTTGCGCTGACTTTGGCACACTCAGGTGTGAGTAGGCGAAGATGAGTAGGCGGAAGAGGTGAGTATATAGGTTGCATACTGGTGAGTCTGAGGTAGGTCGCGAATCTTGATATCGAGTCAACTCTTTCATCTTATCAACCCCGCGTCACGTGAACTACTCCAGCTTGTCCCCCAGGATCCAATGGCTCAACGAATAATTTCAAAGACTACGACGATGCGCATCGCTCCTTTGATGCGGACTTCATCTCATCTGCATATTTCACCGTCAGCCGCAGTCACCAACACCCGCCGCCTCCACATCTCAGCGAACCCAGCCAAAGATCGCATCCCGTCAACACCAAAACCAGACCACCAAGTCGAGAACCCATCGCTTCCCTCCTTCAACCTCTTCAAGCTCGTCCGCGAATCCAAGCCGGCAGTCCGCTACACCGTCTACGCCGGTCTCGGTTTAATGGCCACTGTCGAGACAACCTTCTGGTATCACGTGCTGCGAGCCAAGTTCTTCCCGAGGGCATCGGCAGAAGAGCAGGAGAAGGCTGATGCGCTTCTCGCGCGCCTGAGTGAAGCGATGAAAAACTATCGTCATGTCTGGATGGCGAACTATGGCAGGTACTACGGCGCGCACGTGTGGGGGCTGGGGTATGGTGGGCTCGATGGTCTGGATGACGATGGCATGTTGAGGTCGACTTCATGATGCGCCTCGGTGACTTCGTTGTGCATGATGGTGCGACAACAACGCATTCTTGCCCCGCACTCTCCACTCCAACCAACGTAAGAAGGCGCAGTGGACTCTCTTCATCTCGTCGGTCCTCTTCTATTCTCCTTCAATGCATTTGTCTCGAATTTGGTTCTCAACTCGATCACTGGAATACTTCATGCCTCAATGTTGCCGCGGAATCACATGCTGACACTCTCGCCCTTCTTGATCATGGCGGATCGATGCATCATCATGCACAACCTCTGCAGCTTGTTGCATAGCCCTGTGGCTGTTGCCCTTCTATGGTAGGGCACAGCTTGGCGACGTTGCCCCACCTCAGTCGCATCGAACATACAAAACAGCGGTGATCTGCCATTGCGAATCCATTCCTCTTCTCATCAGTATCATTTCTCGATATAACTTACATCAATTATCATACACACATCTTGCCAGAAACGGGTGTTTCGCATCGACTGCATCATGTCCGACCGAACCCCCAACTTCGACTTCGCTTCGTTCTTCAACGAGGACCTCAACCTAGCCTTCGCTCCGTAAGATGGTCCTAGAGTCGCTCTGCAAACTATGAGTAGGTCGTCAATATCGAGTTGTGGCATCACAGTTTCACATAACCATACAGGCTCTTATATAACCCGAAGCGTCCCATCGTACGAACCGGTCAACGACCTTATCATCTCGCCTATGCACGTTGCGCAACCCGATTTACCGCTCGATATCGATGCCATTATAAACGAGCACCTCGTCGATGGTGCTTCACCATGGTCCCTCGCGACACTAACAGGATTGGATTTGCAGGGTGGAGTCATGCCTAGCGACACCACCATAGCGTAAGTGATTCAATCTTGCCATGAGGCTGTGTGCACACTACGTAGGCGACGGGGAAGTTGCTACTGTATCTATATATATGTTCTGGCTCGTTACCGTACAGGCAGTGTTCCAGACGCGCTGACCATCGACTAGGACAAACATCCTCGCTTCCCATGAAGCCATGGACTTCGAATCCTTGGGCCTTAACGGCGTCGGATATCCGCCGGTCAATCTGACCCAGCCCCGTTACCTCATCATCGATACCCACGCGCCACACCCCCCGCTCACTCGCGCGACTATCAGTACGCAACATACCGCAAACATTTCTCGTCCCGCAAACGAAGTACAACGGCCTCGCAAACGCGTCTGCAACATCGCGCCCTGCAAGGGCGCAACATTCGGTCGAAACCACGAGTTGCGCAGGCACCACGCTTCTAAGCACAACGTGCGCAACGCTCGCAACCCGGGCTTTTGGTGCCCGATCGATGGATGCGACAGGAGTAAGACAGAAGGAGGCCAAGACTTTCCGCGCAAGGACAAGATGGTTGATCATCTAATGAGGGTTCATGGTGATCGAGTTGGCTCGATGGTATGAGGATGGTGTAGATATGTGAGATATTTCTCTTCCGCCTTTCAGCAACATCAACTATCCGAACGAACAGGTGCCCCCACACGTGAGAGAAGTCGCAAAAAAAATCCATTGATTTGTGATGATCTCAGCTTGATGCATAGTACAGGCCGCGTCATGCATAACGAGGCGCAACTTGGCAGTAACTCGTCCATGCCCCGCATTCGCTGTCTCCGGTTAACGTGCAATGTTGCAAGGCTACGTCTCCCCGGACTTCTGCAGGCATGACTCGCTGTTAACCTTTCCTGAGCTATGTACACACCACATGTTAACCAACATTATCTTCATCACGACGTTATGCGTTATAGGGCAATGCTATGTGATGCTGCATTAGAATAGGATTGTAAGGGTTTAGAGCGATATTCGTGTAGGGAGCAGAACCGACAAAAAGCAAGGATTCAAGGACAAGGTCGACGCGGTCGAATACGAACGTCCCAATCCAAGAAGCATGACGATAGACCACCGACGCGATTAATCAGCAACTCGGTGACTGCACCGGTGAACGAAGGATGCATCCTTCCCGCAATTATGTATGTGTTGGCTCGGGCTGTAATCCATAAACTCGGTTAGCTCAGCCTTGCTGCACGTCACTCTTAGTAGAAGCCCACGACCCATTCTCTACATATAAAGACAGCCTGGTCGTTCTTCTTAGACCTCCATCGCGATTTCAAGCTGCGACATGGCGACCACCAAGTTTTGCAAAGTTAGCGAACTCCTTCCTTGCGAGGTGTACGTTGGCGAGGATTTGCCCGAGGACCATCCATCGGCGGTGGACGCGGTATGTCCCCATGGAAACGACCAGCACTATCTCTGTGGTTACTAATTGCGCTCGGCATCAAGGGTAAAGTTAGAGCGGTTATCAACAAACATAAAGGCATTCCGCCATGTGTATGGATTCGGAATGCACGTAGCACACCAGTCACTGTGATACTCTCGCCGTCTCGACCGCATCGATTAGTGACTAGCGGCGGCGTTGAGGCTTCAGATACAGGCGCAGGACTTACCCTAGAGACGGCTGTAAGTATGTCTTTTGTTTCTCTATTCTACATCAGTTATCCATATACAATTCGTGGCTTAATAACCAACCGCAGCTGTACGACCCACTCTCAGCAGGCAGTCTCGCCTCCCCAGGTGAGACCTACGTATTCGGTATATCACGCGAAGACCGATACGCATACATAACGATATACGACTCCAATTCTGGGAGGATCATATACCACAGAAACTATCGGCTACCAGCTGGTGCGAAAGCGGTCTCCAAGCCAAATGAAGATCTTGTGGTGTATCTGTGGAACAAAGAGCTCATGACAAACCCCGAGTCTGATCACTTTGTGCCTCAATCTCATCTGTACGTGTAGTTGCTTGGCTTGCATTGATATCGCAATCATAGCATCGATTCCGTCTGGCCAAAGATGCTCGTGAACCAGAACACGTATGTAATGTGCCAGCCTTTGACGTTTCCCTCGCCTATGACCTCTTTTGTGACATCTTCTCCGATACAACGACCTTTTTGGCCTGACCGCGGCGCCTCCTGCCAGTCCGTGAAGCGATACCAATTTTCGTCGTAATACCCCACGATTCTGTGCGCGAGTGGCTCGGGTTCGCCTGGTATGAGCACACCAACTGCGAAGCTCTGTTTCTGAGGCACATCATAGTCACTTAGTTCAGTGTAACTCCCGTCTATATCCTTGTCTGTGACGTTCCCAAGCATCCTTGCAGCCTGCAGCAGACTGGTTCTTGATGTGGGTCCCTTCGACACCGTTATATTCTTTTCTTTGAGACGGGTATACAGCATCTCCGTCGTCATCCGGTCGCCGTTTGCGAGCAGTGCGGCAACGCTGACCCACGTGCAATTCTCCGTGCCGCCTTCTACGTTGATCAGAGGATAGTGATTTTTAGCCCTTCTCGCATTCAGCAAGCGTTACAAAGGTATCATTCGCGACGCATACTTCGGTAGCTCCGTCACGTCTGACAGCGATGATGGCCCGTCGTCGCTCGTTCCCACCGGTACTCTCAGGCCGGAATATTCGTATACCCAGCAGGTCTGGTCATCCGACAAGCGGAAGCGTTCTTGTCTTGTGGCGTTCCACATCCAGACTTGGTCGACGTTGTTTTGCATAGCTGTTTGTTGGGGAGCAATTTCGAGCAAGGGCGATGCTTGAGCAGACGACTACATACCCCGCGCATGAGCTGGCAAGGTTTGGTGCGACGTGACGTAGGCGGCTGAGCTTTGCTGAGTTGTTCAACGTGACATTCTATACGAGGGGAACTCAAGCAGGTCTGCAGAATATATTACCATAAAAACATGAAAGGTAGGTGACCCACCGACGATGTATGTTCTCGGCTGTTCAGAAATGTCCCTTGATTAAAGTCGGATGCTTGTTCTCTACATAACCGCGATCGTGTAATTGCCGTGATCGTCTACTTCTTCTTGAAAGAGATTACGGGCGACTGGCCTCCGATATGCCTCGAACGTAGCCATGACCATGTTGGAGTCCACGTCGATCTCACGGTCGTAGTCTTTGGTAACAACGACGACGCCGGCTCTTACATACACTCCATCCTGAGCTCCGGGTGGCTTATGAAGGAGAAGACACCACACGCTAGCGAGTTTGTTACCTCCCCAAACCCAACACCAACCGTCACACAATATCGGCACAATAATCGTTGTTTCCAGTGGGGACTTCTCATGTTTAGCAGTAGCATAGAATTCGTGCGAATCAGTCGTTGACGTAATGCTGGTCGGGGACTCCATAAAAGTCGTGGAGAACCATTGGTCTGGATGGAAAATGAAATCAAAGCCTCTCTGGTTTAGCCCCACAGAAAGCTGATCGGGATAACCTTGGTCGTTTGTCATTAGCGAGGAGGGATACTCACTTGGGCAAATCAAGAATGTCGTGCTAAGCTGCAGTTGTAGAGTCGCCAGGTGTTGGACGACATGTATGTTGGTGAAGTGAGCTGATCTTCGATTCAGTGGTCTCATAGACCACGACACGGGTTTGTCCAAACTCGCCCATGACCAACTTGGTATATCACGCCATGCCGGCAAGTCTTTAGAGTTCTGTGGTTCGTAGGTGCGATCCGACTGTGTAAACAGTATGCCACGATGCATGTCGTTTTTCCATAGTCCATACACGCTATCGTCTTTGAGATGCTTCTCAAATTCCGCGGTGATGCCGGCTAAAGCAGGAAGTCTGTCCTTATCAAACGTGAGACGTCGATTGGAATACTCTGAGACAATCTCGAACCAGCTGTTGTAGAAGCTCGTCTAACACCGATCAGTTCGTGGTTATCTCGTATGGACTGCTTCTCATATTGTACTGAGACGATTCGGACTCACCTTATTATTCGGCATATGATCAAGCCTGAAAAGCCAGCTGCTGTCCATTTCTTGCCGAAACCTATGTTCGAAATGAGTGTTCAGCCAACCACAGGGCCAAACCTCATTCGCGACCGTCGATTTGCACACCCAGTACACTTGGCTATCATCGAAGTGCACCGTACGCTTTGCCTGTCAACGACGTTAAGAATGTAAATTCGCGGT